CCGTCGCCCTCCTCTCGCCCTCCTCCTGCCCCCCGCGCCCCCGGCCCACCCGTCGCGTCGCTCATTGTTGCGCCCGCCCGCCAGCCCGGCCCGCCGCCCGAGCGGGAAAATGGCGGTCGGCGCGAGCTGGGGGGAGGGAAACAAAAAGGACGAGGAGGAGGAGCACGAGGGAGGGCAGAACTGAGGGGAGGAACAAAAAGAGAGGAAATGACGGGGGAGGGAAGGAGGAGAGAAGAGAAACAAACATAGAAGGGGGGGACACCAAAAAAAAAAGGAAGCGCAAGATGGCGATATGTTTATGCTGGTAGGATGAGGGGGGGGCATGAGGAGGGCGCAAGGGGACCTCCAATCCATGAACTTTGGATGGCTGGGGCGCGCCCGTTAGCTCTTCCCCAATCATCATCCTCATCCTCATCCTCATCCTCATCCTCATCACCATCACTAGCAACACCACCATCAGGAGGCACACTTGGTGCCCGCTCGGCACGGCCTGGGCGCTCCCGCGTGGTCTCCGCCAACGGCAGCGGCTGGGGCCCACTGACCACGCTCGCATCGAGCCGACTGCTGGCTCGTGCAGGAGCACCAGCTTCACGGCGGGAAAGTTCCTACCGAGGAGCAGTGGATGCGTCACCACATGGCGAGCGGTGCCCTCACGGCAGGGATCGCCGAGGAGAGCTCGAGCGACGCGGTTGCGCAGACGCGGGGGGCCTCTGGCGGCACCGGCGTGGTCCTCCCCGCCCGACGCGGCGCTCGCGAGCCGGGCGAAGGGGCCGTGCCCGTCGTCCGCTGGAGCCTTCTGCAGGCCTCGAGGGGCGCGAAGAGGACGACCCTCTGCAGCAGCGCCCGCAGCGCCGTGGTGGGCCCGCGGTGGCCCGTGGCCCACCGCGCCATCGCGGGCCCCGCCGCTCTGCGCGCCCGCGCGCTGCCCGCGGAGCCGCGAGGCCGCGAGGCCGAGGGCACCGCGCCTGGCACCGTCCGCCCTCGGCGGCGGAGCGGGCTCTCCGCACGGCCGCGGCGGCTCTGAGCTCCGCGGCTTGCGCGAGGAGGAGCGGGGGGGCCAGCGGCGGCATCCTGAGGCGGGGCCTCTTCTCGGAGCGGGCGCCGGCCCCCGACCCTCTCGGGCTTGCCAGCCCCCTCCTCGCCTGGGTCGCGACGTTCGCTGCGGCGGAGGTGCTGGCCAGCTCGCCGCTCACGGGCCGCGTTTTCCTGGACGGGTCGGCGACGTCGGGCAGCCGCGACGATCTGGCTGGCGCAGGCCAGTCGGCATTGACCACGGATCGCTGCAACGACATCGCTTCGTGCATCTCTGGCGTAGATCCCTGGACCGTCCCCCAGGACAGCGGCAGCGGAGAGCTGCTGGCGGCCACCGAGGCGCTGCGGCACTCCTTGGGGCCTGTGGTCTTGCGCACGGACTCGCACATGGTGTTCGACGGCTGGCACGCGGGGCGCCGACGGCTGGAGTTCTGGGAGCTGGAGGACGACATCGGAGCTCACAACGTCCAGGTCGTGAAAAATCGGGCCCACGCCCCCGCGCGGATGATCCGCGAAGGGGCCAGTACGGATTGGCAGCGCCATCTGGCACGCCGACGCCTTGACGAAGCTGGCGGTGGCCAGGCACCCCCGCGCTGCGGTCTTCCTGTTTGAGACGGCGGAGAAGATCGCCAAGCGGGCGCGGGTGGTGGCCAGGTGGATCGGCACCGCGTGCCAGCTGGTCTCCTCGCTGCTGCAGGCGCCTGACGGCTACGGCGCACCTGAGGAGGTGCTGGCAGCCATCACGTGCACAGTGCACAACTGCCACAACCTGGCTGCTGACGACTGCCAGGTCGCTGGGCCGTCATGTCGCGGGCGCGTCTGTGAGGTCCAAGTCACGGCGTTCGAGGTGGACGACGGGGTGGTCTAAGCTTGCCCGCAACGCGCGGCGGCGGTGCCTGAGCTGCCGGTGCAGAGCGGCCGCGCTCTGGTCCGGGCGCGTGCTGGAGCGACGTCGAGGACGGTTACCTGCTGCCCCCCCCTGCTCAGCAACACCGCGTTCCGGAAATGCTCTGCCAGAACGTGGTCAACGACCCAACGGCCCTGCCGGTGACGATCGCAGGGGCAACGAGCAGGGCGGCTCGTCGGGCGGCGAGTCCCACTGGACGAGCGGTGCGCGGCGCGCTGGACAGGAGCTGGCGGGGGCGGCGCTGTGCGCCGCGGCGGCGACGGCAGCAGCGTCCTCTGAATCTGCTCGCGGGGGAGGCGACCGAGCCGGGCCTCATCATGAGCGGGGGCGCCGCGGCGGAGATCGCACCCCCGCAGCCAGCGGTCCGCCGGCGGCTGCGGGCGTGAGCCTCGATCGCGGGCCCCCGCGGAGGTGCTCCTGCTGCTGCGGTAGCGCAGCGGGAGGGCCACCAGCGCGGGCCTGGGCGACGGCGCTGGCCCAGGAGCCGGCGCGGGCGCAGACGGAGGCGCTCCGCCGCGCGCCCCCTCGGCCCAGGGGGCCTGGCGGAGGCGCCGCGCGGTGCGCAGCAGGCGAGGGCGGCGAGGCCGCGATCGTGGAGCGCGGCCCTCCACTCTGGGAGGACGGGCGGCCTCTCCTGCTGCGCCCCCTGCGGCCAGTGGAGAGCTGCGCGGCCGCCCGGCCGAGGCGGCCTTGGAGCGGCTGCGAGAGGGGGCCTCCGCCCCACGGAGGGCGGCGGAGGGCGAGGCCGAGGCGGCGCGGCCTCGCTCGCCGCCGCCCGAGGGCAGGGAAGCTGGGCGCTGGCGGGCGGGCCCGCGCTGGGCCGCCAGGGCCGCTGCCCACGTTCGTCATCGAGGGCGACGTCGCGCACTCTCAGTGAGTGTGGTGTGGAGGTTAGCAGCGCTCGCCTTCCAGGGAGTCGTGGATCATCATCATCACCACCATCAGCACCATCATCATCATGACCATCATCATGATCATCATCGTCGTCGTCGTCACCATCATCATCAGCATCCTCCTCCTCGTCGTCAGCGTCATCGCCATCGCCATCGCCATCGTCATCGTCATATCATCCTGCTCCTCCTCCACTTCCTCCTCCATTCCTTTTCCTTATGAACAACTCCTCCCTGTCCCACCCCGAGGCCGGTCGAAAGGGCGGGCCAGGCGTTCCGCCTGAGACGTCCTCACAATGTTTTATACTGAAGCTCAAAAATGGCACAAGCTTCACGGATGGAGGGCGGTCCGCTTTCAACATGTGGCTCTCGCCTCAGCGCCGTGCAAACTTAAAAATTACAAAAGCTTCACGGATGGAGGGTGGTCCGTTTTCAACATGTGGATCTCGCCTTAGCGCCGCGCACCTTCATTTCAAAGCTTGGACGCCCTTCACGGATGCAGGGCGGCTCCTTTTCAACATGTGGATCTCGCCTTAGCGCCGCGCACATTCGTCTTACACGCTCGCGAGAGTTTCAACGTCCCTGAACGGTCTTTTGGCACGATGTCGGCATGTCAGGACGCAAGTGGCATCCCACGAACGGCGTTCTGGCGAGATTCAGGATCGCCAACACGCAACACTGACGGCGAGTCGCGGGGTTGAAGTTTGAAGAATGGCGTTCTGGCACAACTCCGGTCTTTCAAAGGTCGTCGGTCCAACGGGGCATTTGTTATCATTGAAAATGAATCCGTGTTGTGTTGGAGCCTCTGAAGAGGGCTTTGGGTTTGCACTGGTCCTCCTCCTCCTCCTCCTCCTCCCAATCACCAGAACCACAATCATCATCATCATCATCATCATCATCATCATCATCATCATCATCATCATCATCATCATCATCACCATCATTATAAACATCACCGTCATCGCCTATCATCCCTTACATCCTCATGAGCCACATATTCCTCATCATCCTCATCACCGCTTCCCCAATCCTGGAGCCACGAGGTGCCACAAGCGACGTCCTCCCGTGCCCCCTAAAACAATCGCCACCGCAAATGTTGTGCTGGCACGGTGGCGGGGCCTGCCACAGGCAGATGGATAGCACAGTCCGTTGAGAAGCTCCTCGTTCGCCAAGCACGCACCTGGGACGTGCGGGCAAATGCCATTGGCCGTGTCTCCGCTCACGTCGAAACCACCGCAGATGCTGGTACGGAATGCGGTCTCGTCCCACTGGCATGGGGCCCTGCTGCAGCATGAGAACGCGCTAGTTCGATAAGGGTGCGTGCCGAAGGTGAGGAGGGAGCAGCGCTTGTAACATAAACCCGCGTGCTCCTCCTCATCGTCGTAGCAAAGATTGCCGTCATGGCGGTGAACAGCAGGGAACAGCATCTGCCTCAGCTCCTCCTTGCTCAGATTCTCCGTGGCGTTCGGTAGGAACTTCCTCCAAGAGGGGTCCAGCGTCATCGTCTTGTTGTAGCCGAGCTTGAACCTCGCCTCCAGCTTGGAGATCTCCTCACTCAAGTTCTTGTTGTTGAGAAGCCCCTGGAAGTCGCTCACGCCGCCACCGATGGCCTTCGCTGCCTTTGCGCCGGTGAGCATGGCCTCCGCCGCGGAGGCGAGCGCGGAGAACAAGAACAGCCCCGTCGCATCCCCTGTCAGGGGGCTGCTAGACATGCTCCTGGACCGAGTCGCCCCCGACTTTCCGCGCCATGCCCCGGGGCCTCGCGAGGGGTGTTCCCGAGGCCACTCGGGCCTCCCTGGTGCAGCCGGGGCCACCCTGGGCCGGGGGCACCCCTGGCAGCACGCGGGGTCTGGCAGGAGGGGAGCGGGCTCCGGCGGGAGCGGGGGCCAATGAAGGGGCCCTGGGACACACCAGTAAGTACACACGCAAGTAGCAGGATTCCCCATGTTTTCCCACATTTTCTGGGTTTTTGTCTCCCCCCCCAACTTCCCATATTTTCCTCTCTTTTCCTAAGGATCGACGATTCATTGTGTCTGTGTGCTTTTTCCCCCTTGAAAGGGGGCCCGAACACTCAGCGGGCGAAGAGCGGCACAGAAGAAACTTTCGCGTCGCCGGGGGCGCCCGTCCCAGGGCGGCTGGAACATTGATACCCCGACGTGCCACCGTGGGGGTACATCAGAACTCCAGCCGCCCTGGGACGGGCGTCCCTGTTGGCGAGCAAGCTGCATTCTGTGGAGCCGGACCTGGGCCAGAAGAACCTCCTCCAGGGACATGAGACCCTCCGTCGGCCCGAACAGACAGAACAGCCAAGGGTACCCTCCCCAGGGTGCACAAGAACATCTAACCAACACAAAGAACACTAGGATACCCCGCTCCGCCCGTCGAACGGCGGGCGAACAACCACACAGTCCCCCCTCTTGGGTGCAGCCTGGCCGAGACCCCTACCGCGACAGGCCCCTGCTGCGACGAAGGGGAAAAATGGCTTGGAGGGGGGGGGTCGCTCAGGGGGGGGAACAATGCCTGTCACGGGGTGGAGAGGGGGGGACTGCCTCAGGGGAAGAGCAGTGATCCCTGGAATCGATGAATCCCCTCTGCGGCCAGCATGAAGTTTTCTCCATGCGTGTGCTCGGAAGCTGTCCAGAAGCTCCTCCCGAAGCTCTGCCGCCACCTACAGGATGATCTTCGACGAAAAATCGAAAATGCCTAAACATACCCTTAAAACGCAAGAAAAAATCAAAACATTGTCCCCTGACCATTTTCTGACTATTGTTTGATTATGTTTGGGGTATTTTCATTTTTTCGTCGAAAATCCCCCTGTGGGGGGACAGGCCCGACTTCATGCAACGTTTCCCGCCTGGGCAGTCCCCATGCCGGCGCCCCTGAGGCCCCTCTCGGAGGAGGGCGAAGGGGGGTGGGGGAGAAAGCTGCGGCACTCCCGCCCGCCCGACATCTGCTCGGAGTCAGTTCCTGGACCCCTCCCGAGGTCAACCCTGACAGGCGTTTCGAGGCGGATCCAGCCGTGTCGAAGATTGAGCAGGGACCGACCGTCCCAGCATTCCGATAGGCCTACCGCGAAATGTTCTTAGAACCCCAAAATGTTCCAAGAACAGAAGCAATGTTCTTAGAACATAAACCCAATGTGTTCAAACAAGGCAGCCCCAAAATGTTCTAAGAACATTTCGTGGAAAGCACACAAGGTTCTCAGAACACTGTATGGTATAGGCCTATAGGCACGCCAGGACGCTTCGCCACTGCTTGAGCAGGGAAGCCTCCAGGAGGACCCACCAGGGCGAACTGCGCCGAGCCCGTGCCTCGACTGGCCGCCCCCTGGCCCAGACGCCCTGGTGCGCTGCGCAGCCCCGAGAGCAGAGCTCCCGCGACCCCCTCCTCTGACTACCTACCAAACCACCCCAACCCAACCCGAAGACCCGAATTTCAGGTTGGGGGGGGTATGGGCTCCATATGTGTTTTTTCAATGTTTCCCGACCCCCACCCACTGGAAATCGATGGTAAATCTAAGCCTTCGGGTTGGGTTGGGGTGGTTTGGTGGGTGGTGACTGGCCCAGACGCCCTGGTGCGCTGCGCAGCCCCGAGAGCAGAGCTCCCGCGGCCCCCTCCTCTGACTACCTACCAAACCACCCCAACCCAACCCGAAGACCCGAATTTCGGGTTGGGGGGGGTATGGGCTCCATATGTGTTTTTACCTAACAGCTTTTGCTGATAGGTTTCTAGTGGTCTCAAAAGAGAGCAGCAGATGACTCCTCAGGGGGGTCGGGGCGGGACCCGGGGCGCTGCCGCCGAAGCCCAAATCGCTTGGGACATCCTCGCAAAATCGCTCTTGGCGCTGCTAGAACTCCATTCCCGGGCCACATTTTGGATGCCCGGAGCCAACTGTAGGCCACTTCGTGCTTTTCGATTTCCCAGAACTCCATTCCCGGGCCACATTTTGGATGCCCGGAGCCAACTGTAGGCCACTTCGTGCTCTTCAAGTTCCCAGAACTCCATTCCTGGGCATGATTTTGAATGCCCGGAGCCAACTGTAGGCCACTTCGTGTTCTTCTAGTTCCCAGAACTCCATTCCTGGGCCACATTTTGAACGCTGAGGCAGGCTGATGCTGCGGCTGAGGCAGGCTGAGGCTGAGGCAGGCTGAGGCTGAGGCCGAGGCTGAAGGCAGACTGAGGCTGAGGCTGAAGCAGACTGAGGCTGAGGCTGAGGCAGGCTGAGGCTGAGGCTGAGGCAGGCTGATGCTGAGGCAGGCTGAGGCTGAGGCTGAGGCTGATGCAGGCTGAGGCTGAGGCAGGCTGAGGCTGAGGCCGAGGCTGAAGGCAGACTGAGGCTGAGGCTGAAGCAGGCTGAGGCTGAGGCTGAGGCAGGCTGAGGCTGAGGCAGGCTGAGGCTGAGGCTGAGGCAGGCTGAGGCTGAGGCTGTGACTGCGACTGCCGTTGCCACTGCGACTGTCATCGCGAATGCGACTACGACTGCGAGAACAGCAGAATTCTACAACTGGATTTTCATCTGAATCTTAAGGGGAATGCTTTCAGATATGCTTCTACACATCGCTGTTAGGTTGCTTTGCCGGGATAATTTCAATGTTTCCCGACCCCCCCCCCCACTGGAAATCGAGGGTAAATCTGAGCCTTCGGGTTGGGTTGGGGTGGTTTGGTGGGTGGTGACTGGCCCAAACGCCCTGGTGCGCTGCGCAGCCCCGAGAGCAGAGCTCCCGCGACCCCCTCCTCTGACTACCTACCAAACCACCCCAACCCAACCCGAAGACCCGAATTTCGGGTTGGGGGGGGTATGGGCTCCATATGCGCTTTTACCTAACAGCTTTTGCTGATAGGTTTCTAGTGGTCTCAAAAGAGAGCAGCAGATGACTCCACATGGGGTCGGGGCGGGACCCGGGGCGCTGCCGCCGAAGCCCAAATCGCTTGGGACATCCTCGCAAAATCGCTATTGGCGCTGCTAAAACTCCATTCCCGGGCCACATTTTGGATGCCCGGAGCCAACTGTAGGCCACTTCGTGCTCTTCGACTTCCCAGAACTCCATTCCCGGGCCACATTTTGGATGCCCGGAGCCAACTGTAGGCCACTTCGTGCTCTTCGAGTTCCCAGAACTCCATTCCTGGGCCACATTTTGGATGCCCGGAGCCAACTGTAGGCCACTTCGTGCTCTTCGAGTTCCCAGAACTCCACTCCTGGGCATGATTTTGAATGCCCGGAGCCAACTGTAGGCCACTTCGTGTTCTTCTAGTTCCCAGAACTCCATTCCTGGGCCACATTTTGAATGCTGAGGCAGGCTGATGCTGCGGCCGAGGCAGGCTGAGGCTGAGGCAGGCTGAGGCTGAGGCCGAGGCTGAAGGCAGACTGAGGCTGAGGCTGAAGCAGACTGAGGCTGAGGCTGAGGCAGGCTGAGGCTGAGGCAGGCTGATGCTGAGGCAGGCTGAGGCTGAGGCTGAGGCTGATGCAGGCTGAGGCTGCAGGCTGAGGCTGATTGCAGGCTGAGGCTGAGGCAGGCTGAGGCTGAGGCCGAGGCTGAAGGCAGACTGAGGCTGAGGCTGAGGCTGAGGCTGAGGCAGGCTGAGGCTGAGGCTGAGGCAGGCTGAGGCTGAGGCTGTGACTGCGACTGCCGTTGCCGCTGCGACTGTCATCGCGAATGCGACTACGACTGCGAGAACAGCAGAATTCTACAACTGGATTTTCATCTGAATCTTAAGGGGAATGCTTTCAGATATGCTTCTACACATCGCTGTTAGGTTGCTTTGCAAGGATAATTTCAATGTTTCCCGACCCCCCCCACTGGAAATCGAGGGTAAATCTGAGCCTTCGGGTTGGGTTGGGGTGGTTTGGTGGGTGGTGACTGGCCCAGACGCCCTGGTGCGCTGCGCAGCCCCGAGAGCAGAGCTCCCGCGACCCCCTCCTCTGACTACCTACCAAACCACCCCAACCCAACCCGAAGACCCGAATTTCAGGTTGGGGGGGGTATGGGCTCCATATGTGTTTTGTTCAATGTTTCCCGACCCCCACACACTGGAAATCGAGGGTAAATCTGAGCCTTCGGGTTGGGTTGGGGTGGTTTGGTGGGTGGTGACTGGCCCAAACGCCCTGGTGCGCTGCGCAGCCCCGAGAGCAGAGTTCCCGCGACCCCCTCCCCTCGGTGCACAGCTCTCGCCGTCCCGCACCCGGGGGGCCCGGCCGCACCCGGAGGCCCGGCACACGGTCCCCGGAGGCCGGCCTCGAAGGAGCACGCCCCGGCGGAAGAGAAGGCGGGCCGTCGGCGTCGGAGCTCTCTCGGGCCCCTCTCTCTCCTTGGCGGCGCGCACGAGGGGGGGCAGAGGGGGAGGGGGGAAGGCCTCTGAGGAGCGCCCTGCTTCCCAGAAGTTGTGCCCCCCCCCAGTCCCCCCAGGCCCCCGACGTCATGGTTCCTTCATTGCGTCGACCCCCGAGGTCCCGACCCTCTCCCCGGGACCGGTTTCTCGCCCCGCGTCGTTTTCTTCGCGGCCCCGAGGCCTGGCGAGGGCCCCCAGAGGCCGAACATATGGAAACACCTCCCGTCAGGATTGGCTCCTTGCCCGAGGGGGTCTTCAAATCTTCGAATCTTCGAATCTTCAAATCTTCGAATCTTTGAATCTTTGAATCTTCGAATCTTCAAATCTTCAAATCTTCAAATCTTCAAAGCCCCGAATCGCCGAAGCCCTGAATTGCGAATCTTCGGCGCGTGGCCGGCTCTCTCTCTCCCGTGGCCGACCCGCGTCCGCGCTGGCCGCGCCGCGAGGCCGCGCCTGCCGCCCCGCAAGCAGCGCGCCCGCGCACCCGGCGCACAGGGCGGCCGCGAGGACGAGCGCGCGGCCCCCGCGCGGCAGCCCGGGCCGCGCGCGCCCGGCGGCGGCCGCCAGCAGGCCCCCGCGCTCTGCCTCCTCGGGCGGGGGGAGGGAGGAGGAGGAGGAGGGAGGGGAGGAGGAGGAGGAGGAGGAGGGAGGAGGAGGGGAGGAGGATAGGAGGAGAGGAGGAGGAGGAGGAGGAGGAGGAGGAGGGAGGAGGGAGGAGGAGGAGGAGGAGGAGGAGGAGGAGGAGGAGGAGGAGGAGGGAGGGAGGAGGAGGAGGAGGAGGAGGAGGAGGAATATTTGCGTCGGCGACCAGGCAGGAGTCGTGTGCGCTGGCGGAAGGAGCTGACGAAACGGGGGCACCGTTGTAGCGAAGTGGCCAACGTGCAGGAGCGGGAAGAGGGACAGAGAAGGCGGCCGCAAAGAGGGAAATGCTCATAAACAAACAAAGCCATAAACGTTCGGAGCTCCGCTCGGACCTCCAACAGTGTATATGTTTATGCTGCTCCTCCTTCTGGAACACAGCACGGATGCCCTAGGACAGAAGAACACTCTTCAAGAGCATGAGACCCTCCGACGGCGAGAACTGAAAAACGTTCGAGTGTACCCTCCCCCAGTATGCACAATAACATTCAACAAACACCAATACCATTAGGGTACCCTCCCCGAACCGACCTCGATCTCATACCTCGGTCCGCTTGTGTGCCCAGGAGCTCTGCGGCCCCTCCAGGGGGGCACGAGTCCCTGTAAGCCCGCGGGCGGATATTCTCGACGTCCGGCGCTGCCAGAGCGCGCTCCCCCCCAGCGGCGACCACGCCATCCCCTACATACGAGATTCAGGAGGGGAAAAAACACACAGACGCAATTCATCGTCGATCCCAGGAAAATATGCGAATCTATGGGAAGTGGGGGGGAAGACAAAAACCCAGAAAAGACAGGAAAATATGGGGGATAGTTTTATTTGTGTGTATTTATTCGTGTGTTCTGGGGCCCCTTTCGAGATGCAGTCCCAGACATGCTCTACTTTTGTTCGACCCGTGGGCTCCAGGAGCTCTGGACCACTCACTTCCCCCGGGACCGACTTTTCGTCCTGGATAAAATTTTGGCGGCGCGCACAAGGGGGTGGGGGGAGGGGGGAGGGCTTCTTAGAAGCAGGCTGCTTCTCAGAAGTCGCCGGCCTCACATCTATAGAGAAGGCTCGCGCCTTCTAAGAAGCAGGGGGGCTTCCAAGAAGCCCTCCCCCCTCCCTCCACCCCCCTTTGCGCGTGGCTGATAACTTTTGACGCTCCCGAGGCCCGGCGAGGGCCCCCAGAGGCCGTAAACGGCAACAAAAACGCCCGCTCCAATTTTTGCTGGAGCGTCGGATCTCTGGGGTCGTAGGAAGTGTCGGCCTGCGCCCTGCCGCTTGGAGGTGGACAGAGTCTCCTTTGTCAGGACATCCCAACAAATAAAAACAAACCCAGGACCAGGCCAAGCGGGCGCCGGCACGCAGAAGCTCCGGCCGCAGCACCCTCTCGAGAGCCGAAGAAGCGCAATTCGCGAATCGACTTGGCAGTGTGGGGTTCGAACCACGGGAAAAGCTCATCGATCACCCCTCTATTTTTAGCCTTCAACACACTGAACCAATGAATTCGATGATTACTTAACTTAGTAAGTATTTCCCGAGGAGGGGGGCAACTTGGCAAGTTGGGCTTCTCCACCTTAGGAGAAGGAAACATTATAGGCATAAACTTTTGGCGCTACGCGCAGAGAGCCAACAGTTTGTGTTTATAGGGTTTTTCTCTTTCGAAGCTGCGATCCTTTCGGAGAGGAACAGTTTTGCACAACCATATTCGGGAGCCTGCGGATGCCGAGAGGCGCGCTGAAAGTCGCGCGATTGACGTTGCTTACGGGCATGCGAGGAATTTGTTTCTCAAATGGTGGGGGTCCAGGGGGGATTGGTGGCGGGGTACCTCCTTTGCCGGGGACCTGGCGGATGACGCGAAGCGCGCTTAGACTCGAAGAGTCGAGCGATGGACGTTGCATCCAGGCTCAGAGGCTTCAAACAATGAGCGTATCGCTTGAGACATCCTCTCCCAAACGCTACGTATCTCGAGGGTCATATCTTAAGGCGCATGATTCGAAACATTAGCGTTTCGCCCGAGGATACCGCCGCTGGCGTAACAAAAAGCCCAACAAGCATCATGGACAACGCTGCTGTGCTCAGAAACCCCGTGTCCCTCAATTTCAGCATTGAAAACGGGGTTGCCTTGGCGGTGGAGTTTTGCAGGTTTTTTTTTATGCCGATGCTTGCACCTCGACAGCGGCCGCGAACGCAACATTGATATGGGGGGTCTGGGGGCGGCACCGCCGAAGCAGCGTCTGTGGATGCGCGTCTGTTGCGCCAACAGCGGCATCCTCGAAAAATGGGGATGTTGAACTCGCTGGCCTAATCCTCGGAACTTCAAGCATGGCCGACAGGGCCGCTTCGTCTGAGACATGCTCGAAGAACTGGTTGGCGCCGAGAGCTGCTCTGAGGCATCTCTTCGGAGCGCCCTTGGATGACCTCCAAGATGGCCCAAGAAGCGAACTTAAGATTCCCCAATCAGAGCTTGCCTCTGTAGGGGTCCTAACGGATTCATATGGTTAGGTTAGGTTTGTCGCCAATTTTCGCTGCACGCCCGGGTGCCTGGATGCCCGCGGGTGCCCGGGGCCCGGGTGCCCGGGGGGTGCCCGGGGGTGCCCAGGGGTGCCCGGGTGCCCGGGGGTGCTCGGGGGTGCCCAGGGGTGCCCTATAGCCCTAAGCCCTACAGCCCTGTAGCCCTGTAGCCCAATAGCCTTATTTATAGTCCTATAGCTCAATAGCCCTATAGCTCCTAGCCCTATAGCCCTGATTGGGTTTTTCTCCCCTATCATTCATACTACGATTATGCCTCATATTCTTAAGTAGTACGAACTCTTACAATCTGCTCAACAAAAGTGTTCTAACACTGTTGTTGACAAGTAAGCGTTTCGCTCGAGACATCCTCCGAATAATGCCTTTGAATTGGCCCTCGCAACCATCTGGTCTCCTCCTCCTCCTCCTCCTCCTCATTCTCCTCCTCCTCCTCCTCGTCCTCCTCCGCGTCCTCTTCCTTTTCCTCCTCCTCCTCCTCCTCCTCCTCCTCCTCCTCCTCCTGGTCCAACTCCCACTCTTCCTCCTTCCTCCTTCCTCCTCCTCCTCATCGTTCTCCTCCTCCTCCTCCTCCTCCTCCTCCTGCTCCTGGTCCTCCTCGTCCTCGTCCTCCTCCCCCTCCCCCTCCCCTCCTCGCCCATTTCGCCTGCTCCTGCTGTTTCTCCCCGTCGTCCTCCTCCTCCTCCTCCTTCTCCTCCTCCTCCTCCTCCTCCCTCCTCCATCCTCCTCCACCCCCTCCTCCTCCTCCTCCTCCTCCTCCTCCTCCTCCTCCTCCTCCTCCTCCTCCTCCTCCTCCTCCTCCTCCTCCTCCTCCTCCACCCCCTCCCCTCCTCCTCCTCATGCGAAGGAGTGAGGAGGATAATCAGGAATATGCTTGTGAGCGTTCGGGGGGCGCGTGTCCAAACGTATCCCTTGTCGAAAGGGTGGGCTGCGGGTCGCTCCCAAAATGTGGCTCTCGCCTTAGCGCCGCGCACATTCGTTTTAACCATTGGCAAGAGTTTCTTGGATTGAAGGCGGGTCGTTTTCAAAGTGCGGTTCTCGTCTTAGCGCCGCGCACATTCGTTAAGCAATGTGCAAGTTTCACGGGCTCCCATGGTCAGCGCATCAGAAGTGGCGTTCTGGAGAGAGACTCAGGATTAGGAGGGTCAACAATGACGTTGATTCTCGGCGTTGAAGTCCCAAGAACGGCGTTCTGGCAAGATTCAGGATCGTCAAAACGCAACAATCAGGTTGATCCGTGGTGTTGGAATCCGGAGAATAATGTTACTGCATTCTTCAGGTTCTCCAAACAATTGTCTCCCAACGAGCCAGTTCATGCAGTGGAACTGAGTCCTTGTAGGGGCCTGAGGAGAGGGAGCTTGGAGGGAGGGTTTATTCCAACATCGTTGATGGCTCTTGGGTTTACAACGGCCCTCCTCCTCCCAACCCTCCTTCTTCCCCAACTCCCCCGGACGTCGTCTTCGCCGTCCTCCTCCTCCTCATGCGAAGGGGTGATTATGATCTTCAGAAATACGCTTGTGAACGTTCGGGGGCGCGTGTCCATACGTATCCCTTGTGAGCGCCCCGAGAACTCGCCTATTTTACCTTCGGCCGCGATGATGCTGCAAGTTCTTGCGCAACTCTTCCCTTTCACGCGCTTCCCGTTCATATCAGCAAAGGTTTTAAGCAAACTAGCGTTTTGCCGGAGACATCCCCTCCAAATCGCGATATGTGGGGTCGTAGCCTAAGACGACTTATGCTAAACATGAACGCTTCGCCCGAGGTATCGTCGGAAACTGGGGATGTGGACATCACTTGCCTAACCTTCGGAACTTCAGACATGGCCGCTTCGCCTGAGACATCCTCGAGGAACAGGTATGCGCCAAAAGCTGCTTCGAGGCATCTTTTCGGAGCGCTCTCGGATGACCTCCAAGATGGCCCAATAGTTAAAATTATTAGACGAAATATTGGGTGTTCAACACTTTCGTTCAAACATCAGCGTTTCGCTCGAGGCATCCCCCGAAAATACTTTCGAACTGGCCCTCGAAACCATCTTGTCTCCTCCTCCTCCTCCTTCTCCTCCTCCTCGTCCTCCTCCTCCTGTTCTTCCTCCTCCTCCTCCTCGTCCTCGTCCTCGTCCTCCTCCTCCTCCTGCTTCTCCTGCTCCTCCTGCTCCTGCTCCTCCTCCTCCTCCTCCTTCTCCTCCTCCTCCTCCTCCTCCTCCTCCTCCTCCCCATCATCCTCCTTTCTAAATGCTTATTCCTCTTCCTCCTCCTCCTCCTCCTCCTCCTCCTCCTCCTCCTCACCCTCCTCCTCCTCCTCCTCCTCCTCCTCCTCCTCCTCCTCCTCCTCCTCCTCCTCCTCCTCCTCCTCCCCCTTCTCCTGCTCCTCTTCTTCCTGTTCCTCGACCTCCTCCCCCTCCCCTCCACAACCTCTTCTCCTGCTGCTGCTGCTGCTGCTCCTCCTCCTCCTTCTCCTCCTCGTTCTCCTCCTCCTCGTCCAGTCGTCGTCTCCGCCGTCGTCCTCCTCATGTGAAGGAGTTGGGAGGATAATCAGGAATATGCCTGTGAACGCTTTGGGGGCGCGTGTCCATACGTATCCCTTGTGAGCGCCCCGAGAGCTCGCCTAGTTTACTCTCGGCCGCGATGATGCTGCACATTCTTGCACAACTCTTCCCTGTCACGCGCTTCCCGTTCATGTCAGGAAAAGTGGCGTGGGTCGGCGCTGGGCCTTACACGCGGTGCCTCCGCCCTTGCCACCGGCGCGCTCCGCGCGGACGTGTGCCATGCTCATGCAAGTCCTCCTTCTTCTACCTCGGTGGTTGCTCCCCTGACCTTCCAGAGAGCTATTTTTTAGCACTGGAAACCTAAAAACCTAAAAAACGAGACGAAACAGCCTAAAACCAAGACGTAAAATAGCTCTGGGATGGGTTTTTACGTCGGGTGCTATTTTTTAGCCCTCCTGGAAGGTCAGGGTCAGGGTGCCCTGCCAGAGGACCTCCCGTCGTGGTCTCGTTTGTGACCCGAGGGTGTCTGGGCCTGCCTCCCGGCAAGTAAAGGCCAGCGCCCGAGTCCTCCGCGGCCACCCCTGGCACGGAGCACCGCCCGGGGCACAGCGGCTCGGCGATGCCCTCCTCCACGGCGGCTGGGTCCGGGGCCACGCCGGCCGACCGCTCTTCCCAGACCTCATGGCGTCGTGAAAAAATCACGACGGGAGGTTTTTCATTATTTTCGGCCTCCGGGGGCCCTCACCGGGCCTCGGGAGCGTCAAAAAACGACTCAGGACGAAGAACCGGTCCCGGGGAAGGGGTCCAGACCTCTGCGGGTCGACGTTGTGAAAAAATCACGACGTCGGGGGTCTGGGTTCGGAGGAAGGCCGGCGGAGACGATGGTTGCTTTTTGGCCTTCCCTGGGTTGAGGGGCAGGCACATTCGTCCACACCAAGCGTCCTCGCCTGGCGTCGCGCCCCGGCACCATCAGGCATCGATCATGGCTCGGAAGGTGCCGCAGAAAGACGGGGTCGGGGGCTGCGGTCGTGATTCCCTGGGATGCTGCAACTGTATATCGCAGCGTCGGGTCTCAGGGTTCAGGGGGGCTCCCTCGTCAGCACGACGACACCTGGCTCTACGAACTGGTGCGCTTGGGCCCCAGGAGGTGTGCGGGGACCGACTTGGGCCGCGATAGAGGGGGCAGGGGCGATACATGGGGGGGCAGCGAGGGCTGGAGCAAAGGGGCCCTTCCGGGCCTCTCAAGGCCTGAAGAAGCCCTTTCGGGCCCAGAAGCGGGCCTGTGGGGACCGAGAAGTGCTCCTTTCTTTCCCCCCCGTGCGCCATCCCCCAATGAAGCGACGCCCAACCGACTTTGAGCGCATCAGGGCCGGGCGGGAGGGCCACCATTGAAGGGGCCCTGGGACACACAAATAAATACACACAAATAAAAATATCCCCCATATTTTCCTATATTTTCTGGGTTTTTGTCTTCCCCCCCACTTCCCATATTTTCCTGTATTTTCCTGGGAGTCGACGATTAATTGTGTCTGTGTGTTTTTTCCCCTCCTGAACCATCGCCTCACCGCCGGGCCCTCCTCCGAGCTCTGCACCACTCCTGGCCCGGCCCCGCTCCTGGGACCCGTCCGCACCGAATCGTGGAACCGTACATCGGCTCCGACTGTGCGTCGTGCCAGGCCAGGTCGGCCCGGGGTCCCGATCGAATCGGATCGGCAGCGCCAGGATGCCAAACAAACGCCATGAGCACATCGGACCGTCGCCATGTGTCGCAACCTGCCCGGAACCATCCCGCCAAAATCGAGACCCTGAGATCCGACGCTCCAAGAAAATTGGAGCGGGCGGTTTTTGGCAGGTCTCGGCCTCCGGGGGCCCTGGTTGGGCCTCGGGGGCGTCAAAAAACGACTCAGAACGAAAAACCGGTCCCGGGAAAGTGGTCCAGACCTCCTGGGTCCACGCCCACCAAAAATTAATCGTGTCGACCGGGCCGAAGTTGACGCGCCACCCTGGGCCCAGGGTCGGTGTCTGGTACGAGAACGGCGCCCATGCACCGTACCATCATGTCCGGACTCCGGCTCAGGCCCCGCTCCCACGTGCTACGGTGCACGGTCTCTGGGCTTCTAGAAGGGCAGAGCAACCGTGCACCGTACCATTCCTGGGTCGAAGATCGACATCTCGGGAGCGGCAAAGAGGGGGGCGTCAAAGAGGGGGGGGTGCAAATCATGACCGGCGGCATGTGCGCGGCCCAGCGGGGGGGCCAGGGACGTAATGAAATAAGAAGAGGCGCCATGAAATCTGGGAAATATCATGGCCCACGCCATGATATCCACCCCCCCCTAGTCATTACCCCCCTCTTTTCCGCCCCCGAACATCGCCTCGGGAAACGCCACCGCGGCACGGTGCACACGCATCGTCCGCGGCTCTGAGGAGGAGCTGAGAGGAGGAGGAGGGAGGAGGAGGAGGAGAGGAGGAGGAGGAGGAGGAGGAGGAGGGAGGAGGAGGAGGGAGGAGGAGGAGGAGGAGGAGGAGGAGGAGGAGGAGGAGGAGGAGGAGGAGGAGGAGGAGGAGGAGGGGGCCCAGGGTGGGCCCGGGGCCAGGAGCGGTGCCGGTGGCCGGCCGGCGTCCCCCGCTGGGTGGGCGCAGGCGGTGCCCGCCATGGCCGCGGGGGCGCCGCACGGGGGCGCGCAGAGGCAGGAGGCCTCCGCCGGAAAGCTCGGGCCGGGGCCGCCGGAGCCTCCTCCTCCTCCTCCTCTCCTCCTCCTCCTCCTCCTCCACCTCCTCCTCCTCCTCCTCCTCCTCTCCTCCTCCTCCTCCTCCTCCTCCTCCTCCTCCTCCTCATCCTCCTCCTCCTCCTCCTCCTCCTCTCAGCTCCGTCTGGCTCCTCTGAGATCCTTCTAGCTCCTCCTATTAGCTCCTCGCTGGGACAGTAAAAGAACAGGCTCATCTCCAGGAGGCCCTGAGAGGCCTCGCGAGGCCTTCAAACAACGCCCGAAGAGGCTCCAGCGGTTCCCCGCGAGGCGAGCAGCAGAAACAAGACAATGAAGGCGCGCTGGCTTAGGGTAGTCTCTGGAGAGCTTCAGGGGAACCTGAGAGCCCCCCAAGATGGTCCAACACGGCCCACTGAGGGCGGGCCCCAAAATGTCACGACAACTCCCCTAAGACAGCCCTAAAACATCTCCAATACGGTTAAGTCGGGCATGTCCCCCTACAGGCGGATTTTGGACGAACAATAAAAAATACCCCAAACATGCTCCAAAAATTGTTAAACATAGTAAACAGAATCGTCCCCATGCCAATTGTTCAAGTATGTTTGAAGATTCCCCCTGTAGAGGGACACGCCCGACTTAACAATACGGCCCCGAGATCTGCGCGGGCGAACCACAGACACACCGATGGTCCAACCAAGGCCCCTTCGGGCGAGCTCGGGAGAGCCGTCGTGCCCGAGGCGGCCTTGAGACCCTCTGCAGGCCCCGACAAGCACCCATGAGGCGTCGAGGAGGCTTCAGAGAACGACCTTAAGAGGCCTCTAAGAAACCCCTCCCCAAACCAAAGACCGTCCAAACGCAAAGCAACACACATGCAATTATCGATCGATACATCTAGCTATCTACCTACCTACCTATATATCTATACATACACACACATGTCAAAATGTAAATAGATATAGCGGCGGCTTGGGGTTGAGATCGAAGCGGAACGGAGACTCCCACGTGGCGATCGGTTTCGGTTTCGGGTTCGTGCGTGTCGTGCGTGCGGGCGAGGCGAAGCTGCGTTGGCGGGCGAGAGGAATGACCCCGCCGTGGCCAGGGCTGGGCAGGACAGAAGACCGCCCCTCCGGTGGGCCGGCGTGGCGAGAGATGTCCCGCCGTGGTGTTCCGCCGTGGTGTCCCGTCGGCGTCCGCGGCGGTGGCCGGGGATGTCCCGTCGGTGCTTCGTCGGTGTCCTGTCGGTGTCCTCTCGGTGTCCCGTCGGTGTACCGTCGGTGTCCCGTGGATGTCCTGTCTGTGTCCCGTTGGTGTCCCTGTCGGTGTCCCCGCCGTGGCTGGTCGATCGAGTGGGATCTGTAGTGAGGTCGATAGGCAATTGTTCTTCACCAGCACCGAGGGCGATCGATAGCGAGATCGAGTGAGATCGATAGTGAGATCCATTGTGATATCGATAGAGCGAGATCGCTAGAGTGCGATCGAGCCTGTTCGGGGACCTCGGGATACGGAGCCACCCTGCGTGTATTCTGATGCTGCGCTGGCACTGTCACGGGGGGCGCCGCGGATGCTTGGCAGGATAATCCCCCCCGAGGCGTCTGCGGTCGCGTCCTGAAGAGACTTGGCGCTGGGCTCCCAAACTTGCTGCTCCCTGAGTCCACCTCGCTCACAAGGCTGACGGGGTCAGGTCGGGCGTGTCCCCCAACAGGATTCCGGACGAAACATAAAGCATGCACCAACGATACCCTCACAAACACTCAAACATGGCAAACAATTGTCCCCAGACTGTGTTTTTCATAGTTTTGAATATTCCCCCCTGTGAAGGAAGGGATGATGAGGCCGCTCATGCCCTCGCACGTATCCGTCGGCATCAGAGAAGGGGGGCACCGAGGGAAACTGGCCCTCGACCTCGGGGCCTCCCCCGGGAGCAGCACTCTCTTCACCCGGCATCGCTTTCTTGACGGCCCGGGGCCTGAGGTTCAGGACTCGACGAGAGGCCCCACACGGCGAAGACACGCGGAACGCCCCTCCCTCGGTACTTTCACTGCCACGGCGAGGTTTCCCAGCCGGCGCGGGTAAAACAGGGCTAGGGTCGGGATAAATCGCTCCAGAGCGTTCCGGAGCGCTCTCAGAGCGTTCCGGAACGCTCTGGAGCGGCCGCGGCGCCCAGTACATCCTCCAAACCCGCCGATTCTCAGAGATTTCGACGGATCCGATTCTGTCCCGATCTTCGGGTCGTTTTAGCGGGACTCCCCGACGAACGGCTCGTCGCAACCTCTGTGCCCGACGCCACGCCGAGGAGATGCCGCCCGCCGAGCCCGGGCAGACGCCGGGCCACGGTGGACAGAGCGCCGCAGCGTCTGGCCGGCGGCAGAGCCCTCGGCGGCAGACGCCCGCCGAGCAGGCCCCGTGCCCCACCCAGCTCAGAGAGGAAGAGAGAAGGATCGGCTACTCCAGATTTCGCAATATAAAGGGAGGGGGGTCTCATTTCGGGGGGGGTCTCTTCCAGGCTATCCTGGAGGGCCTGGGGGGGTCTGGGGACGAATTTTGGGAGGCTTCCCCCACGGGGGAGGTCTGGGGACGAATTTTTGGAGGCTTCCCCCACGGGCAATAGAAGGGAGGGGGTCTGGACCCTCCAAGACAAGCCATTTCAGACCTCCCCCGTGGGAGGACCCTCCAAAACACCGTCCCCAGACCCCCCAGGCCCTCCAAGATAGCCTGGAAGAGACCCCCCCCCCCGAAATGAGACCCCCCCCTTTATCACGAAATCTGGAGTACACTTTTACGTCGCCGCGTTGCGGAGACAGTCCGCACGCTCGCTCAAGCGGGCCGGGACACGGCAGACGCCAATTGTCCGGCGGTCAAGGCGGGGGTGAGAAAGGCGAAGGCGGCCGCGGAGGAGGGAAAACGGCGGGGAGGGCACGTGCAAGGCGAGGTGCATCGCATTGGAGCGGCTGGTGCGGCCAGCCTGTGCTGCATCACCCTGGCAGTGGGCGCGGGGCGAGAGGTCGGCTGCACGCAGGAGTGCTGACCTGTGCTGCGCGGCCTCGAGGGGCCGACAGCACGCGTGCGCCGAAGAACGGGACCGGGAGAAAGGGGGGGGTGGCGAGCGCATCATGGCCCGAGGCGCGTTCGCGGACTAGGAGGGGGGGGGGCCAGAGAACGTGTTGCAGCCAGAGAAGGGGTCCATGAGATCTGGACGACTCCCCCGCCCCCTTCCGCCCCCAACTCGTTCCTCTAATCCTCCTGCACTTGCGCCCTCTCACGACTCAATCCAGTCCCTGCTGCTACGTATCCTGCTCCCCCTCCGCCCAATCATCCTCCTCGTCGCACCTTCGTCAATCGTTCTCCCCGTGTTTGGCGTCGTCATGCGACGGCCACTCCTCATGCCCATTATTCCCATTGGCTTGCCGGTTGCCGCACTTCTGCCGCTACTTAGCTCCGCCTCTCTGTCGCCCACGCCGTCATCGTAGTCATGGTCATCCTCATCTCGGGCACGCGTTAACCCAGATTACGGATCCGTGGATCTAGCGGATGGGCGCCAGATCCACGGAACGGGGCAACACCCTCAGAAATGTGAAGCCAATGCCATTTCATTTGGCAACGGAGCGTGCCGATTTTGTCTAGAAACAGGACCCGTCGCTAATCCACGCGCCTGACTGCATGTGTGCGTTTCCTCGATTATCCCCCCTCCCCCCTTCTCCTCCTCCTCGCCCCCCCATCATCGCATCGCGCTCCTTCGCTTACTCATGCAATGCTGGGGGTAAGAATGGGAACTGCTTGCGCCTCCGTGATGGCGACCAAATCCTGCTCGAGGAAATCGAACCGCAATTGTTCAACGTCTTCTACCCAATACGTCATATTGTCCTCCGTCAGAAGCACGCGCGGCAAGTCCTGGCAACGGGGCGAAAAGGGGAGGGTGATGCCGTCCGGACCAGACGCGTGCCAGAACTGAGGGGGGAAGAGGGGAGAGGAATGAGAGAGAAAAAGGATAATAAAGACAGAGACAGAGAGAGAGAGACGATAGAAAAAGAGAGAGAGAGAGAGAGACAGAGAGAGACAGAGAAACAAACGAACAATATGCAGAGAGGGAGACGGAGAGACAAGAGAGAAAGTACAGAAAGAGAGAGAGAGAGAGAGAAAGACACACACACACACACACGCAGACAAAGACAGAGAGCAAGAGAGAGAGAGAGAGTACGGAGTACGAGAGAGACGGGCAGGCAGACAAACAGGCAGACAGGCAGGCAGGCAGACATACAGACAAACAGGCAGGCAGGCAGACAAACAGACATACATATATACAGATATATAAGAAAGGGAACGAGATATATGTATATATATGTAGAGATAGAGATAAAGAGGGAGAGAGAGAGAGAGAGAACACCAACAACAACAACAACAACAACAATCATTTTACCCGAACGCTCAGTGTTCTCCCCAGTGCCAGGGTTTTCATGCGACGCCAGCCAATACCCCCACTTCGTGGGGGGGCAATGCAAGCTCTACCAAACATCCACACGACTCTCGGGAACCACCCACACCCAGCTTCCCGCCCTATGACGTCAGGACACTTCACTTCGTGGCGCGCGGACGATCGTGGATACTACACTGGCGTGGAGTACACACCCGCAGAGGTTGATCACTTGTTTGGGCCCCGCATGTGCCCCGCATGGTGCATTTGTTGCGTATGACATACATAGTACAGAGAGACAGAGAGAGAGAGAGAGAGAGAGCAAGACAGAGAGCCAGTGGAGAGAGAGATAGAAAGAGATTCGTCACATGTGTGAGGCAACCTGAGAAGATGTGGTACACGGTACACGTGAGATGGTACGCAGTGCCAAGATAGTTGGTCACATTTTTGAGGCAAATTCCTGGGAAGGCGATTACACAAGTAGATGTGTTACGTATGATAGATATGAAGCAGAGAAAGAGCGAGAGACAGAGAGAAGGAGAGAGAGGAGTCGGTCACATCTTTAGGGCAACTTCCTGAGGGATGTGGGAGGACACAA